GTAACAATCCCACAATTAAGTATTATAATGTACCAATAAAAAGATAAAGAAGACTGTTTTTAGAAAAATAAAATGAACAAAGATATGCCAGTATGTCAGATAATTCACATGGATGGACCAATTACTAGAAACAAACTACCAAAACTAACTCAAGAAAATAATCTGAACACACTTGGGAATTGATGTGAGTGCAATAATAATAAAACAACTGCACAGCAAGAAAAACTCTCATCCAGAAATGTTACTGGTCAATTCTACTAAACATGTGGAGGAGAGTTCACATCAGTTTTCTCCAAATTCTTCCATGACATAGAAGGATCCTGTTACTTTCCCACATGACATCACTCTTTCAGATGAGAGTATGAGGAATACCAGAGAAATGACCCCAAGCCAAGAGAAATAGTTGTGACGTCTGTGCAGACCAAGTCTTGCTATGTGACCATAGTATACATGGGTGTTATAGTTTGGGTCTGGAATATCCACCAGAGGCTTGTGTGTTGAAAGCTTGGTCCCTAGCTGGTGGCACTATTTGGAGGTGGTAGAAACTTTAGGAGGTGAGACTTGGTTGAAAGTGGTGTTTCACTGGGGGAGTGCCTTTGAGGGGTTTATTTTGTCTTCAGTCCCTTTCTGTATGTCTCTGCTTCCAGATTTCTATGAGGTGAACATCTTTGTTCAGCTCTGGCTTCTGCCATGATGTTCTGCCTCATCTCAGGCTCATACCATTCATGCCACCTGCCTATGGACTAAAACCTCTGAAACCATGAGCCAAAATAAATCTTCCCTCCTTTAAGTTGTTTTTCTCATGTATTATGTCACAGTGACCAACAGTGAATTGGTTACATTCCGTCACTGAATCTGTGGGCCCCATCAATCTTTGGTCCTAGGCCTCCTGATTACCTGGGACTATAGGTGTGCCCCAATGCACCCAACTTCTTGTTAATCTTTCTCACAGAGTCTCTGATACTTTCACTTTTTCTTTAATTATTTTACTTTCTTCTGTCCCATACCACAGTTTATCCAAATGTCCCATCCTCTCCCCATTTGTGGCCCTGGCTGTCCTTGAGCAATTTGGCTCTGGGTTTGTGCTTCTATTTATTTCCGGATTGGATCTATACCCCCAAATTGACCATAAGTTCAGTTCCCTGAACTTAAGTTTCCTTCTTACTATCCAAAAGATACCTTATGGGCTGGGGTTGTGGCTCAGTGGTAGAGTGCTCACATAGCATGTGTGAGGCACTGGGTTTAATCCTCAGCACCACATAAAAATAAATAAAAGGTATTGTGTCCACATTCTTTTTTGAAGGTACAGTTTTATTTTTTTTCCAGCTTTTATTCCTTTAACATCTTAACAAAAGAAGATTTCCCAAAGTTTAAAAAAGTCTTTGAAAAATATACAGTTTCATATTATTTACACAATATATGAGTACAGGTTTCAATATCATACAAATATTGTAATGTTAGAAACACAGTTGGAAGGCGTGATGTAACTCACTGCTTTTAGATGAAAGACCAATGGACAAGTTCTCTTATTTCAACTATCTTTGTTACTTGTTATCCTGATATATGAACTATTAGGCATCTGAGAGGCTGGAAGACTACTGAACATGAGATGAGCTTCAATACCTTCTATTTTGTTTGAGCTTATTTATTTTTAAAACTTACCACACTTATCTCTTTACAACTTTGCTTCATTCACAGCTAACTTTATTCTCACTACCCTAAATGACCAAATAATAACCACATGAACTGTTAATGTATACATGAATCTAAAAATCAAACATAAAAATGAATAGCCAAGTTATATAAGATATATATTTAATCCCAGGCAAGTCCCTATGGCTTCAGAGGAACTTAGATTCTAGAGACAGGGGTCAACACTTCAGTTTCCATGCTCTGAACTATATTTTTAAAAAAACATAAAAAAGGACTGACAATAATTGGAATAATTCATCTCTTTATATTCAAGAAACCTAAGATTAAAAATTCTACATTATAGTTTTATTTGTACTTAAAAATACATTGGAAATTCTGCATATGCCCATGATCAAGCTTATTTTCAATGCACATTACTTCAATTTTGATGACATGGTTTGTTCTGACAAGTCCTTTTACAAGCTGAACACCAAAATAGGGAAACTCCTGTAATCTCAGCCACTCAGAAGGCTGTGGTAGGAGAAATGCAAATTCAAGACCAACCTCAGCAATTTAGCAAGGCCCTAAGGACAGCAATTTAGTGAGAACTTATCTCAAAATAAAACATAAAAGGGGGCCTGGAGATGTGGCTCAGTGGTTAAGTGACCCTGGGTTTAATTCCCCAGTACCAAAAAATAAAAATAGTCAACTAGAATCCACCAAAGGAACTGAGTTTCTGTGTTACCTCCAGGGGTAGTTGCTGGCCTTGTATCTGGCCATTAAAAGGGCTTGGTATAGACTGTTCCTTCTGCAGGGAATGTTTACTCAGTACCTTGTCCATCTCTATGTGCTGAGACAATTCCTCAACCTTCAAGTTTCAGCGTATTTCACATTCTTTAGGGAATCCTTCCTGACTCCTTGTCCAACTTATCCTCTCCCTAGGGTAAGGTGTGTTTTTGTTGTTGTTCTTGTTTGTTTGTTTGTTTTTAAATACTGGGATTGGGAATTGAATCAAGGGTGCTCTAATCACTGAGATACACCCCTAGTTTTTCCAATTTTTTGTTCTGAGACCATCTCACTGAGTTGCTGAGGCTGGCCTCCAACATGCAATCCTCCTGCCTCCGCCTACTAAGTAGCTTGAAATGCCATACATGTTTAAAATCTTTATAGCCCTTTTCACCACTATGCTTGGGTATTTATTATTTAATAAGTATCATTATTTATTTAATAAAAATTCCTTACTAGTCTATAAGCTTCAAGAGACTTTGATGTGCACACAGTCACCATAAGATCCTATTAAAATGCAGATTCTGATTAAGTAAGTCTGAGATAGGCCTGAGAATTTCCATTGCTGATAGCATCCTTACCTCACCAATGCCAAATTAAAGTGTAGTCAGCATCCCACACTTCCAGAATCAAAGGTTCAGCTCTCTTGGGCCTCTTGTTCCCTACCCTTCTCTAGTGTCACAACCACTGGGCAAGTTTATCAAAGGGTTTTCCAAAAATCAGCCTTATGATGTGCTCTAGTGTCACTAGCTAATGTATCTTCTCTCTTTTCTTTAATCTGATTTTTAAAATATACTCTTTTTAGTTGTATATGGACACAATACCTTTATTTTGTTTATTTATATTTTTTATGTGGTGCTGGGATTGAACCCAGTGCCCCATGCTTGGCAAGTGCTCTACCACTGAGCCACAACCCTGGCCCCTTAATCTGATTTCTTATCAGGATTCTCAGGGTCCCACAAAGAATACTCTCCAATTTTGGGGAACAATTAAGGTAAAAAGAAAGAGGTACAATCTTAAAGATTTAATTTTAATATAAAGCTGACTGAGGAATGCTTAATACGTTTGCTAATCTGCCCTGCCTTTGAGGAATCAGCAACTTTATTCTTTTTTTTTTTTTTTTTTTTTAGTTGTAGATGGACACAATACCTTTATTGTATTTATTTATTTTTATGTGGTGCTGAGGATGGAACCCAGTGCCTCAAACAGGTGAGAGGGGCGCTCTATCACTGAGCCACAACCCCAGCTCAGCAACTTTATTGCAGCTGTCAGTTACACCCGTGGTCAATATGTCCTGGTCACAAACCACATAAACAAGTGGAGAACTCTCATGTATCTTAAAGATGTCAGTTCAGAGAGAAAAGGTGCTGGGTTTCATGGGATAACTTCTTTTCATATCTTTACAAGCAGGACACTCCTGTCATAGAGAGAGGGTCCAAGGGACAGAGGGAGTCAAGGGCACTACTGCAGTGACTCCCACCTGGAGACATCAGGCCCTCCTAGAGAGCCCCCAGTACTTATGGGTAGTATAAAGTAAGACAAAAGGTTTTTTCTTTACATTGAATTGAGAAAATGGGCACTTGTATTTTTTCTTGACACTCTGGGAGAGAAATTATGATGGGGATGGGGTGTCACCTTCTGAAGAAAGAGTACTTGGGAAATACTGCAGTAGCATAGAGCCAGGCGTGGTTACTAGGCAGGACTGGCCCAGCAACCTCACAGAATACTTAGGGAATTGTAAAGAGCAAAGTAAGGCTGTTTCTCCATCATTTGGGTTGTTTTCTTCCATTTCTTCTTTCTTCTGCCTCTGCAGTTCTCATCAATGAGTAAAATAAATGGATGTTTTACTTTGAATCTTCTGACCAAAGCAATGATAAGTAGTCATCAATCCCAATTAGTATTCACGTGGCCCATGACAGACTCTCTGCTACCAGACTTTAGTCAGGCTCCTCTGAACTCTCTTTTCAGGTATCCTGAGCCTTGGGACTTCTCTATCTTGCCATGGCCCAGGTTCAGCAAAGTTCCTACTAAATTACTTGGTAAGAGTCCCCACTCTTGGTGTCTGACCACTCAACATCTGATCAAATTTCTCCTCTACCACCACTGGAATCAAGTCACCCCAGTCACCCAGCCTGCCTTCAGTTACAATTCTGTCAATGTGGCTTAGCTAGAATTCCCCTTAGTCATGATCATTCTTTTTAATTTTCTACCCAATGGCCCCTATCCTGCTTATGGGCTATGAAAACAGCACTGACCCATGCTGTATGTGAAATTGAGCCAAGTTTTAGACTTGAGTTCACATTCCCTATTGTAATAATGCCTGTATTAAATCTGTTTTCACTATGTTAATCTCTGTCTAGCTCTTGTTTTGACACCTACTCCCAATATCAAATAAGGTCACTATTTTTTTTTTTTTTGAGATAGCAGAATTACCAAAGTCAAATGGGAAAGGTGGATTCATTGCATTTTAATGATCAAATATGTTTGATATTTACCTCATGCTAGATGCTACACAGGGTATCAGACACACACTATCCCTCCCCTCTTGGGACATTTGATGTGGGCAATAAAACAAAAGAACCAACTGATCAATATTTATTACAAACCTTTTGCATATGATAATAACTTTAAGGACCTTTAAAATCACAAATTAATACATTTGACTGCTTTACCTTGAAGGACTATGGTGATGGAATAAAAGCAGAGTAGCAAATAGAGCTGGACTCCATCACTGCCCTCATAGCTCCTAAACTGGTTTAACGTCACGATGGCCAGTGGGGAGTGGATATGAGTTTCAGAGAAAACGGAACAGGATCAACAATGAAATGAAAAAGCAGCAGAGCCTGACCTGACATGAGCAGCCAAGGTTGCACACAAGTTGTGGATGCAACTTGATGCCTCTTCTTTATCTCAATCTTACCTCCTCCATACCGCCATCTTACTTCAACTGAAACCAGTGATTCCACTCCTCTATTAAATGACATCTTCAGTGCATTTGTGCTAACAAATGAAACCCCAGGTCTTACATTTGCTTTACAGGTTCCCTCCAATCAGATTTCCCTCTTCAAGACCCTTATGTTCCAGCAACACTGTTCCTGGGGGCTCTCCAGGCTGCTTCTTGCTCCCATTCCTTTGCTTAGGCCAACCCTCCACCAGGAATGTCCTTTGCCCCAGCTGAGCCATTTGTCAGCAAGAACATTTTTGGAAATCTGAATGCTTCTCTGGGTCCACTGTGCATATCTTTTACTGATACCACTGTGTCATAATGACCTGTTTGTGTGGCTGGTTCCCTTTTGACACTGTGAGTTGATGAATGCAATGGCTATATTTTAGAATTCTCAAGCATCCAACAGAGTCACCCAGTGAATGCTTATGGAGGACAATAAAAATCTTTAATGCAGGAAAGAGTTTAAGGCAGCATTTGGTAGTGGTTCAGATCACAGGTAGGCTTAAAAGTCCAGTTTTGCTATTTACTATCTGGTTGACTTCAAACAAGGTTTTCTGGTTCATTAATGAGAGGCATGCCCACGCCCTTCTCATAGGGCTGTGGGGAGGAGTAAATGAAAACAGCATACAGAGCATTTGGCTCAGCTCAACCAAGGTAAGTTCTTTCCTCATCCAAACTGCATAGTCCCAATCCAAAATATCACCCCAAAGCAACTACTACAGTAAGATAATCCTGTTTAGCTAATGTTTAATTATAATAATAAAGGTCAATTCTTGATAAACATCAAACTCTGATCCAATCCAAGAGCCCTGGGTCACTTCCTCCTCACTTCTTTGGAAGGCAGTATTTCTGGATTTCTTCTGCAAGAGACAGGCAGTGCAGGATGCGCTTCTTTTCAGCTGCCAGTTCCTTCTCAGAGAACTGGCCTAAGAGTTTCTGGACAAATATATTTTGATCTTTTAGGAAAATGTTCTTATTGACACCTACATTTGGCACATTCTCCAGGGACCCAGATTTGAAATGGAAGCTTAAATATCTGTTTCGTTTTAGACCAGGTCCTTTCTCTTCAATCCATGACAGTGGACTGCAAAGACAAGAGAATCTTATTGTTAAAGGTTACACGGGAATGGAAATCGGTGTTTGTTGGCACCTGACCTCCTGGTATAGGTCTGCATTTGGAACCCACTTTCCCTGCAGCTGTGGCTCAGTGGCATCCTGATCTCCACCACCTCCCAAAGGCCATGGGTGGCTGTGTTTCCAACTTTACTGCCAAACAGTCATTTATGCATGTTTGCTACCGGGCAGGTGGATTTTTTGAAAGACTTTTGTGTAAATGTCAATTTGTTCTTATAGATCCTTTAAGGGGATCCTGATATGGACCAGATGACAGCCACCTGGATTGTGTGCAAACTGTTTCCTTGGTATATGTATTATTGATAAGGACAAATTCTTAGACTTCTTTCATCAGAAATTCAAAAGAAGTCTCTGAACTCAAACGTATGCCAAACAATACCCACCACTAGTTAACAAAGAACCTCCATATCTGTTTCATATTTCTGGTTGGGGTTCACATCAACACTCATAAAAATCTACAATCCAAGTAGGATAAACTTGCCCAATCTCTCTCCTTTCCCTGAGTTGTTTCTCTCTTTAGGAAAGATAAGAATTATGATACCTGCTTAAAGAACACTGAGCTATCTCTTAAGTAGAATTGACTTACAAGTAAATAGCTTCATTGAATATTATGATAGAAATCTACTTTTGTAATTTTTTTGTTGTTTTTACAGTGCTGGGGACTGAACCCAGGGCCTTGCACATACCACTGACTTCCACTCTAAGCCCTGCTCTTTCAAATATACTATAAAAAACTATAAAACAATAATTTAAGTATTTCTAAAATGGAAAAAAATTTCACAAATTCTTGTACCTAAGTAAACACATCTTCAGTTTAACACAATCTTTTCAAATATTTATCAATATACATAAGGTTTGTATATGGCACATAAACCCTTAAACAATAAAATTCCCCCTCTTTGGTACTGGGGATTGAACCCAGGGCCTTGGGCATGTGAGGTAAGCACTCTAACACAAAATTACACCCCCAGCCCCTTTTAAAATTTTATTTTGAGACAAGGTCTCATTAAATTACCCTAGGCTGGCTTCAAATTTCATGATCTGCTTCATCCTCCCAAGTAACTAAGATGACAGGCATGGGCCACTTGTACCTGGTAACAATTTTTGGTCATTTCTTTTGCTTATTTAAAAATAATTTAATGATCCTGTATATTCTGCCATTGTTTTTTCTACATATATGATTGATTACATAATTTTTTACTATTGCTAAATATATGCACCTTTTCCAATTTTAAATTTTGGATACCTGAATTCAACATCTTCACATATGTCAATGTGTGGGTACATTCATATGTCAATTTGGCACACATATATATCTTTTCCTTCTCTTTTTTTGTAACAAAGTCCCAAGAGTGAAATGACATGGTGTTGGTCCTCGTTAACACTCTTTGCTTTCTCTTTTCTTTCACTACTGGGATGAGCCAGGGTCAAGGACAAGGTAATTTTGTTGGACTGTTGAATTCAGTGATAGAGCTGGCAGTGTGAACAGGAATGGTGTTAATCCTAAACAAACATCACACTGGGGCCTGGAATTTCTACTCCCTCCTATTTGTCTGCAGATGTCAAGCCTGGGGTGAGCAGGCGGATGAGCCATGGTAAAGAATACAGGGAAATCACCATCATCCTTTTTTTTTTTGTTGTTATTTACTTCCAGAATGGTGTGCCATAATAATGCAGCAGGATTTAGCAAAAGGATTGCAAGGAGGACACTGAAGATTGTTTTGGGTGTTGCAGGAAGCACAAGGCTGCCTCCAACTTGAGTGGATAATTCCCTTTTGTGTTGACCTGATTAGATTAAGGAACAGCTAAAAACCTGGAAAAGCATGACTTTCGAGTGTGTCTGTGAGGGTGTTTCCAGAGGAAGTTAGCATGTGACTTTGGGTGGACTCAATGGGAAAGTTCTGCTCTCAGTGTGGGTGGGTAACATTCAATCAGTCAGGACCCTGGAGTGCACACAAAAGGCTAATTGGATTCTTCCCCTGAGAGTGGGGGCATGCTTATCTCCTGCTTTGTACTTTCTAAGTCCACGTTCTCTGGTCGTTGAACATAACACCAATGGACCCCTTCCTAGTTTCTCAGGCTTTCAGCCCTGAACCAAGAGTTACACTCTGGGGTTCCCTGATTCTGAAGCCTTTGGACTTATACTGAGCCATGGTTACCAGATCCTGGGGTCTCCAACCTGTAGACAGTTTATCATGGGACTTCTTCACATGAGCCAATTATATAATAAATACCCTCTGATCTATTTATATACAAATCATATTGGTTTTGTCTTTGGAGAACCCTGATATACTGGGGGAAGGTTAGCCCTATCCTGGGTTAACCTTACCAAGACCAACACTGGAGTGTAGGACAATGCTTAAGAGGAAGAGATCTGAAGCGCATAAAGTGGGGGCCACAGTGTAGCCACACATGCAGGAAGAAACCAGGAAAGAAGATTATAGAACAACTTCCACATTTTGTGGCCCTGTCTTCTAAAAATCTGGAAAGTTTTACTCTTTTCTACTTGAAGGTTTAAGTGAGAACCCTGGCAATGGGCACTTCCACCTGGTGGAGTGGAGCTAACGAGAGGGCCTGCTCCATTCACATGCTGGGCTGGGACAGCAACTGATTCCAGGCATTCCAACAAAAACACAGGCCTAAGTTCGCAGGCAGTTTCTCTGGAACTCCTCTCTCTCTCTGATAACCTTCATTTGCAAATATTTGCAGGATAAGATGGTTTCTTTCCCACCAGAAACAACATGCTGTATCAAGAGAACATAAACCCAGCAGGGTCCAACCTGCTCTGAAGAACTAAGTTCAGCTAGTTTTCTGTGCTGAAAGTGATTAAATGTTTCCTGTGTGCTTAGTACTAGCCCAGAAATAAAAAATTCCTATTCAGGTCTGACAAAGATTCCAGGAAACAGCCATTATATTGATCAAGTAAGTAAAACTATAGGGATCAAGCCATCATACAAATTAATGACAGTTACAAACTCCACCAAAACGTTGGTCTCACTTCATCTAAAATTAACTCTCCTGGCTAGTTTTGAAAGTTCACAGTGCAGCCTTGCAAATGTTCCAAAATGTGATAACAAAGATTAACTTTAATATAACTTATTCCTTTATTTTGACAGTGGATAAAAATAAATCTGGGGTATTCCAAACTGTCTTATCTTCCTAAGAAAATTTTTCATGTCTTTCCAAATAACATGGAGTCTTGAGGTTTGAGTGATAGAAGATGTCAAGATGTTTCTGTTCCTCTATTCCCGTCTCAGTAAAAATGAAGTAATCTTAGCTGGGTACAGTAGCGCACACCTGTTGTCCCAGTACTTGGGAGGCTGAAGGAGGAGGATCACTTGAACCCAGAAGTTCAGGGCCAGCCTGGGCAACAAAGTCGGACTCAATCTCTTAAGTAAATTAATAAATAATAAAGCTGGTATTAATTACATGAGTGTCTTAAGACAGTCTGCTTGAATTTTGAAAGCTGCTCTTCACTTACTGGCAAATGGGTTTTTGTTGGTCTTTGCCTCACATTGCTGCTGTGAGGATGAAAAGCGGTAACGAGTGAAATCACAGTTCGTTACCTGCGGTAGCAGACAGATCTAGAGTTGAAAGAGAGTGAGAGTTCTCAGGGCTCCCTCTCGGGTCACCCTTTTGGACAACTGAGGAGATCCTGAAGTTTGCTTCTCCTCAGTTTCTCAGGACTTACCATTTGTTTTCAGTCTCCAAGTGCACAGTCATTTTCATATACTGATCTTCTTTTCGCTCTTCCAAAGTGGCAGACACAAGGGAGAGCTCCCCAAAGAGAGAGACCAGCCAGGTCAGGCGAGAGATGCCACTGAATGCAGGGAAGCCAAACCGTTCTTTTTCCAAAGGGCCAGCTGTAGGGAATCACAGACACCATGGGAACTGGGAATAAAGGGCTGCCAGATGAAAAACAAGACCCAGAACACAGCGGGGAGTGAAAAAAACAGGGCCAGGTGATCAGGACAAGAGACCAGGCCTTATGGGGTGGGTGCGCACAAAGATGAACAGGTGGGTAAATGTAAACTCTTTCACAAAAGGATCTCCCTTTTTTTTTTTAATGAAATTCAGTCTTGTTAGTAAAGTAAGAAATTCTACTGGCAACAGCAGTCACTCCAGACAAAGAGAACAATAAAAAAGTTTTGGGTTTCTAATATATTCAATGCATTTATGTACATATACATAGATAATTACATATCCATCCATACATTTCCTCTTCTATTAGTGATTACAAGTCATCTGGTAAAAGTTGAAGAACAGGGGTATTTTATCCCTGAAATCCAGGTTCATATCAATACCATATATGTAAATGGCAATGGGGCAAAGGTCATGATAGCTTGAAAGGCTGAGAGAATAGTAATAACTTTAAGCTAGTTTAACATTAATAAGGTTGATCTAGTGTGAAATATTTTCTTGGTCTTTATATAATCTTGTGTTAAGGGGAAAAAAAAAGCACACCTAATATCTGTGTGTAAATCGTTTGGTCACAAACAATACTGCTTCACTCTGCCCAAGCCCAAATATTAAAACATGACCTAAATTTAAAAGGCTTCATATCTGTGTCCTTATATATTATAAACCAAACATGTCTTGAGACTTTGAAATTCACCTAACATAATGAGTATGTTTTAAAAATAGTTATAAATAAAAGCAAACAATCATTAGTGAAATCTTTAGGATCGAAGTATCAATTTTAGAAAGGAAAAAAGCTTCCTCTGTACAGATCACCAATTGCTCTCGTCCTGAGTCCTGAGCAGCCGCTAGAAGCTTGAGCCACACAAAGTCCAACCTGTCTCTATCAAACGACCGGTGTCTGAACATGGTGACGCTATTCCTCTCTGAGCTAACATTTCTTCACCTATATTATGAGGGTAATAAATACCCACTTTATGGGACTCTCACGAATTAAGAATGCTTGTCACATTCTTAGCATAGTTCCATATACAAGTCAATGGTTATCCCTGGTTTCCACAACTTTCATGTCATTTTCAAGAACGAAGATAGATTTCAAAAAGAGGTTCCACTGTACAGTCTGGAAATTCATGCAGGGATAATTGGTCTTACAACTGAACAATACCTAGCCATGAAGGGGTCTGCTTTCTCTAATGAAAGCCCTCAGGAAAGATGGCCCTGATATCCCCGAGTATAGCCAGATAAGGAGTCCATCCAAAGTGCCACAAGAGCAGGTGGCTACATTATACTCACTTCCTATTGCTAACAGCTGCTCAAAGAATGACCAACATAAAGTCAATATTCCAATATATAGTAGACAAAATGCTGTGGTTGCAGGCCAATGTCCCTGTAACTTGCTGGAGGAAGAAAGGGGCCATGCATATTCTCTTTTCTCTGCAAGGAGAAGTATAAAAATATTCTTCATTCCAAGCACCCATCTCCCAGTCCTTTTTAAAAGAGTTTTCATGTACAACCTCCTCTAGAAACATAATCTCCAAAGATTTCATAAGGGAAAATTATGCTAAATAAATTGAAATGAAAGTATAAATTTGCATAAGATTTCTAATATACTTTTTGAGGCCCATGAAGCAATGAAATCTTTATAAGAAAATGAATAAAAATAGGTATTTTATTGCTCATGGAAGCATAGGGAAATTATATTAAATTGGCCTATGGTCAGAAAGTCTTTAGCAGAAATCAATCCTAGCTCACATCCTAGAGAGAAAGTAAGGAACCCAGCTGGCCTTCTGACCTCTTGTGACCTGTGATCCTTCCTAAAACTGACCTGTGAAGAGGAGAGACCCTTTCAGCAGTTCTTTTCCCACCACTTCTTTTTTCAGGAAAGCAAATTCCTCCATCAACAGTTCAATATGCTCCTCATGCAAGACTTTTCCTGTTTTGACAAAAATAGAATATGAAAGGCTGTCACTAACAGTTCTGTATAATCCTGGGATTATGTCTATTTTTCTTCAGAGGACACACAGAATTAAAAATAACTCCCTGGGCATACGGATGGCTACACCACGTACTACACACTTACACAACCTAGATGAAGTAGGTTCTAAGCCAAAGCTTACAGCAGAAATGAAAATTAAGGGAGCAGAATTGTATCCACCTGTCCTCAAGGGCAAAATAAGACCAGGGAAGTGTTGGAGAGCCAACAGGGTGCTAGCTCATGTTCTAGACACTAGGGGGCAGTGCAGCATAAAAAGCTAAGGTAGAAGAAAATGAACTCTGAAGATTGAAGGGAGATAACATGACTATTCAAAGAGTTGGAAGAACTAGATGATTTTTTAAAAACGATCCTTCCTCCAAGGAAGGAGAAAGTCTTACTTAGATTAAAATAAAGCCATTAATTTTTTTTTTTTTGCCCTGGTGGACTTTTTGTATCTGGGTCAGAAGCTTTGTAAAATATTAAAACTATTTTGTGATTAAGGGCAAAGTACAGTTGTGATCGACAATTTCACTGAAGCAGAATCTGGGCCACTAGAAGTTGCTCCTGGGACACCTGTCTTTGTCCAACCCAGCATCACAGGAAACACTACCAATGTTCTCAGCTTATCTGTACCCCAGGAGTGAGCAGGTATGAATCCCTCTCAGTTGGCCTCCTAGCACATTTCCATGGCAACAGGAGTATTTTCAGATACACAGAGGCTTTCTAGCACAAAATGGCTTAGTTTGTAGAAACTAAATGGCACAACCCTGTCTGCAATAAATAGAAGCTTCTCTACTTGTGGGTAGTTCTGTCTATACTCTGAGGGGTCCCTGGGCAGCAGGGAAATTGGACTGTATTTGGAAGCATGCTGTGTTTCCATATCTGTGGCTATTAAAGAAGCTTTACATCTTCTAACTGCATCTTTTTTTTCCCATTCACTCCATGCTTTATTGTGATAAAACACAGTAACCATAGGGTGTATGTGTGTATGCACACACACATACTCATATACGTATACTCTACATTTTAAAACTGAAAGGGCCTAAAAGCAGAGACATCTGAAAACATTAAACATACTTAGCATCTAAATTTTAGCATCTATATATCATTGGCCATTGGAGAAACGGCTAATTCCAGGGCTGAGGCAGAGTACAAGAGTAGCCTAAGTCATTTTGTGCGGAAAGCAGGAAAATACTCAAAGAATAATGGAAACATAACAACCTTCACCAAGCAGCATCATTAGTAATGGAACATATTGAATTAGGTGCCACCTGATAGAATGCAATGTGAAAAACACATTACTATTACTATTCAAGAAAGAAGTAGAGAGTAGAATGATGATTACCAGAAGGTGGAAAGGGTAGGGGGAGTAGAGATGGGGAGAGGTTGGTCAATAGGTAAAAAGTTACAGTAAGATATGAGGGGGCTGGGGATGTGGCTCAAGTGGTAGCGCGCTCGCCTGGCATGCGTGCGGCCCGGGTTCGATCCTCAGCACCGCATACAAACAAAGATGTCTGCCGATAACTAAAAATAAATAAATATTAAAAATTATAAAAAAAAAAAAAAAAAGATATGAGGAATAAGTCCATGGCACAGTAGGGCAACTATAGTCAATAAAAATGTATTATACATTTCAAGATAGCTAGAAGAAAGGATTTTAAAATATTTTAACACAAAAAAACATGTTTGAGGTGATGGATATACTAATTACCCTTATTTGATCACTGTACAATGTATACATGTATCAAAATAGCCCTGTTCCCATAACTTTGTAAATTATCAATTAAAAATAAAGTGAAACCGCTTCCTCATATTAAATAAATATGTGCTGGTGAAGTCAAAGATAAAACCAATCTACAGCTTCTACAATAGCCATCACTGAACTGCTTGCAGAACTTGCCTGGACACATTGTGAGCTCACCTGTATGCATTGTGAACTATCTGTTGGTGCAGTGACTTGTGGTAGTGTTGGGGTATTTTTGCTGATGATGTCATTGGTGGTACAATTTTTCCAAAAGGAGCCGTCAATTGGCATGGTGTATCTTCCTCCCTTCTGCTTGTCATGATCGTCCAGCTAAAATTTGGGGGCCAACAGAGGTGAGGCAAAGAACCTCACCCCCCCGCTGGTACAAAGACCTCTCCACAGGTGTGGCTGTATACTGGACCGGTAGTCAGTGACGGGTAAGATCCAATTGCAATTGTACCAACCTAAGGACCATATGTACTATTGGACAACCTAAGGCAGGCACCGTCCCTAAGCCACATGCTTGTTGTTTAAACAGAGAGGGGGAGATGTTGAGAGCCACAGCCGAAGGGGCCCCAGCAAACTTCCAGCTGCCAGCAAACTTCCAGCTGCCGGCTGATGATTGGCTCACAGCGGCCCCAGCAACATCTAGCTGATTGGCTCCTCTGCGGTGATGCTCATTGGGCTGTTTCCCTGCCCTTTCAGACCACGGAGCTGCTCATTGGGGGACTTTTTTGGCTCCACCCACGTGACCCAGCCAATCGGCCTCAAAAGCAGGAGGATTGTGGGAGGTGGAGAGAAGCTTGTGTGGGAGAGAGAGGTGTGGAAAGCCGGTGGTGGCAGTTGAGGCTCTGAGGGTTTTTCCTGAGAGGCTGTTTTGTTTGGCGTGTGTGGTTCTAAAAATAAAGTTAGTTTCTTTTGACAAGTGGCTCCTGATTGTGCCCAGCCAGACTGCGGCAGATACAGATGTTTGGGAATTCTGGAAATGAACTCCAAAATTACCAATAGTTACAGCAAGCTAAGGAGACAGTAGAGAATACATTGAAGTGAATAAAAAAGGAAAACAATGTTCAAAATTAATAGATGTCAACAAAAGCAGTATTTAGCAAGGAGTTTATAGACATAGAGTTGGAGAAGGAAGAAGAGGAGCAGGAAGGAAGAATATAGAGTATACTAGAGAAGAGCAAAGAGTAAAATGAGCAGAAGGAAGGAGACAAATGTTTACAGGAGCAAACAATGAAATAGATCATAGAAATGAGGAGAAAACTAAAAGGAAGCTTATAAAAGAAAGAAAAGTGACAAATTTTAGCTTTAGTAACAGAAAAGACAAAAAAAACAGCAGACTAACTTTTTCATTTTTGTACTGGCCTTTCAAAAGTAGAAGAATGCTGAAATGGTGACTCAGAGAAGTCCATGTTGTAGCAGCTCCCAAAGAGTGAATTAAACCTGTTCTGCAACAACAAACCTAGGGAATCATGGGGGAAAGCAGAGCAGCAATTCTGTGAGTTGAAATGAAATTCTGTGATAGCAAATGAAAAATACTGGTTTCTCGAGTAGAAATAAAATGAAGAAAGGCAAAGTTAATGGCACTGTCAGGCATACTGTTACCCAGTGAGGGGAGGGGAAGCACTACTCTAAAAAACTGAAAACTATTCTCCCACCAGGCTTTTCTTAAAACATTACTAACATATTCACAGTTAGAGCAGAGAACAAATTCAGAAAAGTTGAGCTGTGACCTGGACATGAGAAAGTCCTAGAACTCTGGCTGGAATGAAAACTGGGCACTTCTTTAGCAGAGCTGAATTGAGCCTCCCTAGTTGAGGAAGTTCAGTGGGGAAGCATCAACAGCTCAAAGGGACTCAAATTTCCTGAGTCAGCAGACTAGGAACTCTTGTAGTTTACCATTATTTTCAGAAATCGCTCTTGTTGTTTTTGCTCCTTTTTCTTTTTGTCCTATATTTGGTATACGTGCTTTTTGAATATCAAGGACCAAAGAGCCACTTGGCTCTACACTTCACTGGATTAGTGGGTGACCAAACTGAGAGCAAGTCTAAGGATGGGACAGAGACTGGGACTCGATCTAAGGAGAAACAAAGACCAGTTGATTAGTCTGCAAAGTGAATAACAAAGGGCATATACATTTGACAGTTTCATCTTTGGGATAAAGAGTGTGGCTGTTGGTTGGGGCAGCACAGATCATGGCCAGGTGGAATGTCCCATCTCCCCTATCCTCAGAAGAGGCTGGAATATAGAATGGTGTTCCACACACATTTCCTCAACACAAGGACAGGGATTCTTGGAGTGAGGGGTATAGTTTAATTCAGATCAGTCTACAGGTGGAGAAGTTGAAATTGGCCAGCTTCCATTTCACACATAAACTTTCACCCCAGACACAACAACAAAGCTATTTTGAGAGTGAAACTTGTCCTTCCCATCCCCAACTCCAGGCAAGGAGGGGTCTGGATTCAGCAGACACACTTACATGACAAGTTTAGGCAATTTGGGTCAGAGCCAAAAGATATTACGGGTATGATATTTGCATATTTGAGACTTCCTCACACTTGGTAATTTCAATAATTGAAACACCAGATGCAAAATCCTATTTCATAAACTTCAGGAAGAACTAATCTGAACTTCTGTATGAAAATTATTGCATTAACAGATTGATATAAACATACTCATTTCCTCCAGTACACAGTCATCATTTCCCATTTCAGCCCCTCTTCCTCACCCACTTTATTCACCCCCATTTTAACCTGTTTTCCTTCCATTATTCACCCTTTTTCTTTCTTCTTTTTCTCTTCTTTCTTTTTATCCATCTTCAAATTCAGTTTGGTACACAGTTATTAATGTGTACATTTTCAGCTAGTTCTATGCTAATCCTCACCTATGTTCCTCCTAGATTAATAGTTATAGATATCATTAGTGATTACATTCACAGAGTATGTTGATATATGGTTTACTCTGTCCTTTCAAAGAAGCATTGAGGGTTGTTAAAAATTGGATCACATCTCACCAGATGTGTTGAAGATAAGATATACTTCCAGCACAGGAAAGGATCCCACAGGAAGAGGCATTCATCTCAACAGATGTTTAAATCTAGAACTTCTGAAACCATTAGGAAACAGGCCAACAAGACACTTCAAAAAATTTACAGCCTCCAATAACTGAACCCACAGATATTGAAGGGGATAAAGTTCCAGAGAAGGACTAC